TCCTCACTCCTGCTGCCCTGTTGCTGAAGGCAGGAAGTGCCAAGGGGCTGGCAGGTCTGAGCCCTCCCCCGCCTCTCAGCCTGCTCTCTGCAAGGTGGGGGCAGCAGGGGCCCCCCTGTCTAGCCCCCTCACGTCCGAGTCAGGTTCGGCCGAGTGCAGGGCTACGACCCGTCCCCGCCTGGCATGCTGGCCAGACCTCCGCTACAGGCCTCGGCCCCCCTGCCGCTGGGCTGACTGGAGGTCGGCTCGCCTCTGGGACCTCAGGTGGGCAGGGCGTGTGGGCAGGCTGAGGCCCAGGTCGGCAGCAGCAGCTGGCCCGCTCGTCCCCACTGGGCTGTGCAACGCAGCGGCTCAAGGCCAGGTCGCCTCCGGCCCCGGACTTGTCAGCATCCTGAGTTTAGCAGCGGGGCCCCGGGGGCGCGGCGGGAAGCGTGTGCGGCTCACCCCGGCCACCCTCTGTCGCCTCAGGTCACGTGACTCGGTAGCCGCGGGGCTGGGGGTCCTCGGGTTTCTCTTCCAGAAGGTAGGTCACCCCCAGCCCCCAGGCGAGTGGCGCGTGGGGAGACCCCGTGCACAGGGCCCTCCCGCCCACGGCCCGCCCAGCCCGCTTGTGCCCGCGCCCCCAGCCCAGGGCTGCCCCTTCTGGGCCCCTCCCGCTCCCCGTCATGTCCCAACCTCTGCACAGCACAAGGTCCGGGGGGCAGGACCTCTGAGAGCTCTCGTGACCCCCGAGAGGGACGGGCCATGCCTGAGGCTGCCCCTCGGGGCCCGGACCAAGGAGCACCTGCCCTTTCGGGCTCCGTGGGCGCACGTGGCCGCCACCCGCCTCACCTGCTTCAGCACCTTGTAGATGTACGCGGAGTACGTCTCTCTGCGCCGGCTGCGCTTCTTGGACTTCTTGTCCCCGGCAGCGCGGCCCCGCCGGCCCCCGGGACGCGACTGTGCCTGCTCCGTGCTCATCCTCCTCGGCTGCTGCTGCCCGCGCCAGGGCAACTTTTATGAAGCCAAGTGCTGCCAGGTGGGCCAAGGGCCTGCACCTGCGGGGAGGCGGTGGAGGGGAGGGGCTGGCCCGACCCTGCAGAACGAGCCCCAGGTGGTCCTCAGCCGCCCCTCCCCCGTGTATTTGCACTCTTGTGTGAGTTCACGCCTGGCCGGCAGCCCTACAGCCACTGGGCACCCTCCGGGGCCACCCAGCTTGGTGCCAGGGGTCAAAAGAAACACAGGGCAGCCCCCCATGCTAGCCCTACAACGCAGGGGAGACCCTGGCTCCACACCCCGCCCTCAGAGGGAGGACATCCGTGGGGAAGAAATTCAGGGAGCTAGAGAGGGCTCCTTGGGGTAAACGGGGGTTGAAGCTGGTCTCAGTAACACGGCACCGTGGTGGAGAGGTGCCCTGGCAGCAGCTCCTGCAGGGCGGGGGCCTGGCCGAGGCGTGGCCTGGTGGGGCAGCCTTGCAGGAGCCCTGGTCCTGGGTGCTGTCCTGGGAGCAGATGGGTGGGGGGCGTGGGCTGCCCGGGGCAGGAGAGCAGGAGGAGGTTGTTATGGAGAACCAGGTTGCAGCCCCGTGCCTGCCTCAGGCTCCCCGCGGGTGACAGGAACCAGCGGGCAGAGGCAGCCCCATCAGGTGGAGGGCGGCGGCTGGAGCGGGCTCACCTGGCTGCGCCTGGGGCTGGAGCCCCACTAAACTACTCCACTCAGTTCCCGGGGTCAGCCCCATCTGGAATGAATTGACCTGGAGGTCAATTCTTAACCCTCAGTGGGGCACTGATAATTTGCAACACTAGGAGAAATGCTACGTGGGGAATTTGTAAAGCACCTTAAAGTCGTTGAGGTTAGCTTTTGGGTAGACAAGCTGACTAGCCGCTCCCCTCATTCCTGCAGGTTCTAAGCCCCCATCTCTCAGTCCCCGAGGTCCACTTTGCTGCAGACCCCACCATACGGGGGCCACCTAGCCTGGCCTCTGCTGACCAGCCCACCCTGCTCCCCTGCCTGTGGGCCCAGGGCTCCTACTCAGGGCAGACTGACGGGGGCCATCTTGCTCTGGGCCCCCCTTCAGCACAAAGAACGCACCTCAGGGTCTGAGCCACACGCGTGGGGAAAGGCGCGACGACAGCAGGAGGTGCCCCCGGCCCCCGTCCCGGTCCACTCCACCCCCCCACCCCCGCCCCAGCTGATGGGACGGGACGTGAGATTGGCATTACTGGGAGGGGCGTAAGGGGGCAGAGACGAGAAGGAGGGTGGGGACCATGGCTGCTTCTTTCTTTATTGGGCGCTTTGTGGATGTCACGCAGGTCTAAAAGTTACACTGTTAAATAATTATTTAAAAACCGCCCAGGACTCGCCCGGTCCAGAGCTCCAAACCAGAAGCAGAGGAATGGGGGCAGTGGGCTGGGGTATTCCCCCAACATCACCAAACCCGGAGAGATGAGGACCCCGCGCTCCTTCGCAGGTCAAACCCAGGGCCCGGCGAGCGGACCCCGCGGTGCCTCGGGCCGACCACAGCAGGGTCAGGTAACCGGCAAGGGCCGGCGGGGACAGCCGGCTGTGTCCAGACGTGGACAAGAGAACTGGAAGGAAGGAGACGGACAGGTACTGTCCAGTTGCAGATAAGATCACAGAGTGCAGCTAAGGCGGGGGGGCGGGGAGAGGCCGGGGCGCGGCCGCGCAGCGATGCAGGGGTGCGGCCCTGGGGCCGGCCCGGCCAGGGCTCACACGTTGTGGGTCCTCCTGGCGAGCTGGGGCTCTTCGCCCACCAGCTTGGACTTGAGGTGCTCCTTGTAGGCCAAGATGTCTCCAGGCCACTTGGTGATTGTCTGCTTCTCACAGACCCAGATTTCCTGCGCCACCTAGAAAGCAACTGCTGACGTCAGCGACCATCCTGGCCGGCACCCCACCTTCTGGCGTTCTCGGGGGCGGCCCCGCGTATCCGGCTCAGGTCTCCCTGCGGGGGGCTGCAGCTGGCCGCAGGGGGCCTTCCAAGCCTGCGGCACCATCCTGACTCCCGGCTCCCCAGAGGCCTGGTGTGTCCAGAGGTCCTGCTCCTGGCCACCTCCCCAGGGCTTCAGAGGGACAGCAGCGCTCTCCCCCAGGACGGCTCAGCCCTCCGTCCAACCTAAACGCTCCTCAGAGCCAGGCCGCCTGGGGCTGAAGCACCCCTCTGTGCCCTCAGCGCTTCTCCACACCCCACGTGCCGTGACCCTACCCCACCTGCCTCGAGCCCGATGCTCTGCACCCCCAGCCAGGCCTCACCTGCTGGATGAGCCGGAAGTCGTGGCTGACCAGCATCATGCCACCCTCAAACTCGTTGATGGCATCTGCCAGGGCATCGATGGTCTCAATGTCCAGGTGATTGGTGGGCTCATCCAGGAAGAGCATGTGAGGGTTCTGCCAGGCCAGCCAGGCCAGACACACGCGGCACTTCTGCCCATCAGACAGGTTCCGGATGGGGCTCACCTGAGCGGAACCGGGACACTTCTGTCACGTGCCATTATCTTCACGACGCCCCTTCTCCGTTTTCTCCACGGATCCTCCACTAGCGTCACCCCATCTTACAAACAGAGGGGCTCAGAAAGACCCAAGACCACCCAGCAAGATGGGTGCGGAGCCGACGGCCTCCCAGGCCTGCAGGGGCACAGGAGGGCTGCGGCCCGGTCACTGCCGCCTCTCGCTCTCGGCGCGCAGGTCGAATCATCTGGGAGGGCCTGGCCTAGACCTGAATCTAGGATTTGATTTCTAGGTCTCCAGTTGCTTCACTCTCAGGCTCTACAGCTCATCTGCTGGTGGGGTGCGGGCAGGCCCCATGGGCGCCACCCCTACCCTTCCCTCGAGGTCAGGCCATCAGCAGGCAGAGGGAGGGCACTCAGGGACCGCTTCCGGCCTGGGTGGGGGGATGCCCCCTGACCCGGCTGCTTCCCCACGGCCCCCGGTACTGACCTGCTGCTTCCCAGTGAGACCGTACCGGCCGATGATCTTCCTCATCTCCTCCTTCTCCTTGATCTCTGGGTAGCACTTCATCATGTACTCCAGGGGCGAGAGGTCCAGGTCCAGCTGCTCTTGTAGGTGCTACAGGACGAGCAGGGTGTTGACTGGGGTCCCCGCTGCAGCCCAGGCCCCTGCCCCATGCCCCGGGCACGCCTCCCCGGCCTCTACCTGATGGTAACGGCCTATCTTGACATGAGAGTGTTTCCGGATCATCCCGTCTGTGGGCAGTAGCTGGAAAGCGCAGAGTCGGCAGTGGACGGGCAAGCGGGCGGCAGCGTGGACAGACCCGGTCAGGGTGGGCGGGGGCGCCGCTCTGACCGGACGGCACCGCCCCCAGACTGCCCTGGCAGGC